TACACACACACTAGTAAGGAAAAGAATAGCTAAGAAGAAATTACATATATATATATATATATATATATATATATACGAAAAACAGAAAAGAGGACTAAGAGTAATCTCGCGTTGCTACGCGATGCAGAATACAATTCTCCAAAAGAGAGATGTGAGTTAAGCTTCGGAAAGATAACATAGGATTTTAGATAAGAGTACTGCTGTTTTCAGAAGTTGGTACACATGCATTTACCTCATTTCAGAGCATCCAATCCAACAGCATCACTTATTTAAGATCTGTCACTGAATCGTACAACACCCATTGGGTTTTGGTGTTGCAGTTTGCGTCGGTTTCGGTTTTGGTTTCGATGTATTCTTAGCATTCTCCACCAGGTTAGGAACTTGCAGTATCTAAAGACAATAAACACAGTTGGAATACAAGTAAATAAACAATCTCAATCTCTTCTTTTCTTTTTTCTTGAAGACATCAGTCATAAATAATCTTAAACTCAACCATGTATTTAGTTCTGCTAATGTCAGTGTCTTTGGATAATCCAAGTACATCATCCTATGATCCATTGAAGCATCCATGTGAATATTGTAGAGTTGTTAATCAAACTAGTTCTGGCAATTTGGTTTAGGGTTCTCTATATGTGTATATTAACATTACGTCTCATATGCTCACCTTTTCTGCGAGATCCTGAAAGCATTTCTCCACATTTTGTCGTGTTTTTGCACTGCATTCCACAAACAAATACCCTTTGGCGTTCGCAAGGGCACTTGCTTCTTCCTTTGTCACCTTCCTCTCTTTCTCCTGATGTATGCAAAACGATGTGGTTAATTTCACAGAACTGTGCATCTCAGCTGCACATACAGACCGAAATATATCGATAATTGATACAAGAAACCTTCTATAGAAGTCCTACCGACCTTTTTACATCAAAGAAAATGCATTAAGAAAAGTAGATGAATAAATATAAGTGCATGACATCTATAAGATCTTTCATATGGTATATATATTTTCTCTCTAGTACAAGGCAGACGAGATTTCTTTCTTTGGGAACTCAAATAGGCACAGATGCTCTCAACGGAATAGATTATATAGCGTCTCAGGTTCTGATAAAGGAAGACTAACGTTATGAGCATGCATTCCCTTATTTGCCAAATGATTCTTCAAGGGAAGCTTAAACATCGAGAAAAGATCTATGCGTACATGCATACCATTTGTACTGCTGAAGCTACGATATGCTTCCCTAATGTTCACGATACTGGCAATTGGATCTTACAGTTCTGATGACACAAGGATGAGACAATGATGACAAGGTGCGAAGAGTTTACCTTATCCACTTTGTTTCCGGCAAGAATCTTAATACAGTCTTGATTTGTAGAGTGTTGCTCCACTTCCTTGGTCCACGTGTCAGTCAAATGGGTGAAGGTTTCTGGCCTCGTCACATCATAAACTAACAAGCAAAGGATTAATCACTGTTGACCATTTCTTCAACTCTATTCTACTTACAAGTAAAGGAGACTATGCAACATCTTTGGGTTCACTGTTTACGAGGAAGCAATCTGGTTGTAGCAGCCATCAATTTAACAAAGAGATGTACGAATGACATTAAAGTTTTGCTGAGGAATTGCTCACCCATAATTATTCCATGAGCACCTCGATAGTAAGACGTAGTTAATGTCCTGAACCTCTCATTCCCAGCTGCGAAAACATGCACAAAATACATATTTTTTGTCATGCTGACTGATTACATGTCAAACTCTGCAGTCGGTGAGTCTTCAAGCAACAGGGATAATGGGAAAAGACAAAGTCATAAAAAGGAAAAACTTGTATTACAATGCGCAGATTATACGTTCTTATATACACCGACTGAATGTAACGATAAGAGAAAGAATGACAAGAAAAAGAATAATCAAATATTTAGAATTATATAATTATACTAATGAAATATTTAAATTTGTGAAATTACTTTGATTGCGAACCTTTCCTAATGTCAATTGATTATCTTGAATTTATTGAGTGATTTGTTTGAGAAGATTCTTCAGTGATTTATTGGAAAAGATTTTTTTTTTAATATGGTCACAAGATTGTGCTTATATTAGAAACACCAATCTTGGATCGTTACCACATGAAGCGAGGTTTTGTAAGGATGTCAGCAACTTGATCATGTATGAAGACATGAGCGACTTGAAAAGAACTATTGACAATTTTATCTCAAATAAAATGATAATCAAAGATGATATACTTTATACGAGAGTGGAATATCATGTTAGCACCTTAGTATGTCACACCAATATTATCACAAAAAAAATGAGTTTGATCAAGTGAGATACCCAACTCGGATAGAAGATTAGTGAGCTAAGATACCTCAGTCGAAGTTAAAGCGTCAGAACGATATTTAGCTCCCATGGATGTTTGAGCAACTGTTTGTTACTTTTTAGAGCACCATGCTATCGAGTTAGCTCCAATTAAAATGGCATAAGCAGATATGGATATGAAATCATCACGATTATTAACCCAATCAGCATCTAAATAGGCAATAAGAATGAGTAGTTAGGAGCATCATAGAATAAAGACAATGAGAGATGGTATGTTTGAGATATCAGAGAGGATGCTTGGCAGCCATCCATTGATTTAAATGGCTAGGTTTATGTATTGAGCAAATTTGTTGACAACATAAAAAATATCTGACTGCGTAAGTGATAAGTATTGTATAGCACCAATGAGACTGATATTTGGTAGCATTGTAGGAGCACAATTGTCATTAAGGAAGAATTGTGTTATGGTGCCGAGAGACATGATTGTCTCATTGATATCTTCTATTTTGAAATTAAATCTTGAATATAATTGTGATGTGACAGAAAGAGGCATTTAGCAATAGATATAAGTTCGAACTCTCAAGAAGTTATAAAGATTTGATGCAGAACAGAAATAAAATAAAATTTTACTACTATAAATGATTCTAGTAAACTAACCTAGAAAGAGCGGATGAGGAAAATCAACTCCTTATACGAAGAAAATCTTTACAATACTTGAAGATAATATTTTTTAATGATTTTACAGGCTTTGAGGAAACCTTTATTTATACTAATTTTAGGTTATGAATGTTGAATTTCGAATTTTGATGATGAAAAGTATTTTTTGATCTAATAAGCATTTTGAGTGACGCAAGATTAATTTCGATCATGGAGAGACAATTTGATTAAAGCAGGAAAAATCAATGTTGGGTCGAAGTAGAATATGTCAAAAGATTATATGTCGAGCCGAAGAATCGGTTGATGTGTCGGCATAAGGTTTCGTGCCATGAGTTCGAGCATTGGACCAAGAAGATCAGACATTATGCAAAGGTGATCAGATGTTACGGGAAGATAACATGTTGATTGAGTAATATGCTGAAGGAGATGACGATGTACCGAAGGGTCGAACGAAGTACCAGATGAACTAATGATATGTCGGATAACATATGATTAATGCTTTGTAATAATTGTCTAGATCGAAGTAGTTTGAGGTCTAATTGAGTTGGTTTTACGTATAACTATGCCAACTTGATTAAGAGCCAATTGGGCCTGAATCAAGACTGAATTGAGCCTGTTGTTTGACCTATTTAGTATCTTATAGTAGGGTTTGGCGGTGGTACCATCTAGATTGGGTGGTGGTACTACCCAGACATAGTCTTCAAGACTATGTCTGGCGGTGGTACCGCCATATTGGGTGGTGGTACTGTCCAAACACAATCTTCCAGATTATATTACGGTCCTAATAGTTGGTACCAGAGCCAAATTTTTCTCGATTGGATTAACACCTAAGAGAGATGGCTTTTTTGGCTTTCAAAAGGGTCTTTTTATTACTCGTCCTCCTATGTTCAATGGAACGGACTACATTTATTAGAGTTTTTTTATTTATTTTTTTTAATTTTGATTTATAGAATATCATTAAACTTGGTTTTCAAACTCCCTCTAAACCTATAAATGAATGGAATGACTTTGAGAAAAAAATTATTTTTTTTAAATGTGAAAGTTATGAATGCTTTATTTTATATTTCGGATAAAAACGAGTTTAATCGTATTTCGACTTGTGAAACAAGTAGGAACATGACATTTGACACACTCTTGAAGTCACACATGAAGGAACAAGTAGGGTTAAGGATTATAAAGTTAATCTTTTGATGCATGATTTTAAATTATTTCATATTAAACCAAGTGAGACCATTGGAGATACGCACACTCATTTTACGGATATCGTCAATGGTCTAAAACCACATGGTAAAAGTTTTTCTGATTTTAAACTTATTAACAAGATATTAAGGTCCCTTCCAAAAAGTTGGGATCCCAAAGTAACGGTAATACAAGAAGCAAATGACCTAAATAACTTTCCACTTAAATAACTTATCGACTTTTTAATGACCTATGAAATAAGTTATATAACACAAGACGAATATGAGAATAATTTTCCAAAAAATAGGAAGTATATGGCATTAAGAACCAAAGAATACCACTTGAGTGATAACTCAAGTGATGATGATGACGACATAGAACTTTTGACGAGAAAACTCAAAAAATTTATAAAATAAGAAACTAAGGACAAAAATGAGCTCAAAAGGAACATAATAACTTGCTATGAATGCAATCGACTGGAACACCTCAAAAGCAAATGTCCGCAACAAAAGAAAAAAAATGCATTCAAGGTGGCATGAGAGGAATCAAGTACATCCGAAGATGATGAGCAAATCGACAAAGAAGAGGTGGAAAACTATGCCTTGGTGGCTTTCGACAACGGGATAAGTGGCTTTCGAGTACATTCGGACTAACTTTCCTGAATGGACAATGATAAGTTCTATGTCCATGTTTGCAATAAAAGTTGCATTTGCTTTGGTGCCGAACATGTAAGATAGGGCCTTTAATGAAGGTGGTTGGATTTTGGTGAGGACTTCTCACAAATTCGATTCCGCTTCTTTTAGGAACGTGACTCTTATTTGTAAGAATCATATTCAAAAACTTGCTACCAACCTCGAATTTCTTCAAGATGTCCTTAAGTAGCAAGTTCTCCTTTTGGAGAGTTTCTAAATCATGACATTTTATACATGGAGCTAAACTATCATGATATTCAGTTTTTAATTTATCAAAATTACTAATAAGACTATCATGCTCCATTTTTAATAATTTATATTTTCTACTAATTATTTTGCATTCATCAAATAATTTATGGAAAGCATTTAATAATTCATCAAATGATAAATCTGTATCAATTAAATTCGTTACCTCCTCTCCGATGGCCATTAGGGTATAGTGAGCAATTTGCTCGGTGTTGGACTCCTATTCTTCGGACGCACTTGAGTCATCCTACGTTGCTTTGAGCGCCTTCTTCTTTGGTGTTCTCTTTTTAGCTTAGGGACAATCACTTTTATAGTGTCCTGGCTTCTTGCATTCGTAACAAATAACTTGGTCCTTCTTGGGTTCAAATTTATTTTTTGTATCATTTTTAAACTTATTTCTTTTAATGAATTTTTTAAATTTCTTTGTTAGAAATGCCAAGTCATCGTCATAGTCCTCAAGTTTTCTCTCAAGTGGTCTTCTAAAGTTCTAAATGCCATATCCTTCCTGTTCTTTGGAAGGATTTCTTCTTACTCTTTATGAGCTTTGCAAGTTATTTGGTAGGTTATTAATGACCCGATTAATTTTTTAAGAGGGAAGTTGTTTAAATCTTTAGTCTCTTGAATAGTAGTGACTTTAGGGTCCTAAATCTTTGGAAGAGATCTTAGAATCTTATTCACAAGCTCAAAATCTGAAAAACTTTTACCGAGTCCTTTTAGACTATTAATGACATCCGTGAAACAGGTGTACATGTCGCCGATGGTCTCGCTTGGTTTCATTCGAAAAAGTTCAAAAGAATGTATTAAAAGATTGAATTTTGACTCTTTCACTCTACTTGTGCCTTCGTGAGTCACTTCGAGTGTGTGCCAAATATCAAATGTAGTTTCACAAACTGAAACACGATTGAACTCATTTTTATCAAGCGCACAAAATAAGACATTCATAGCCTTTGCATTAAGAGCAAAAGTCTTCTTATCCAATTTATTCCAATCAATCATTAGAAGAGAAGACTTTGAAAATCCATTTTCAATAAGATTCCAAAGTTCAAAATCTATGAAAATAAGGAAGATCCTCATTCGGGTCTTCCAATAGGAGTAATCTATCCCATTGAACATAGGTGGACATATAATAGAGTGGCCCTCTTGGTTTCCGACGTATGCCATCTCTCTTAGGTTTTAATCTGATTGAGAGTTAACCCCGCTCTGATACCAATTGTTAGGATCAAGAGCACTAAGAGGGGGGGGGGAGGGGGTGAATTAGTGCAGCGGATAACTTTCGACGATTTAAAATAATGTTCGTACGATAAAAACACTTTCGATGAAAAACCATTTCGGAAAGTTCTTTAACTTAAGATTAAGCGAAGTACAGTTGAAGAAAAGTAATGGAGGCAGTTTGCAGTTAAGATAGAGAGCAGAATGTAAATACAAACCGAGATTTAGAGTGGTTCGGTCAATCTTGACCTACATCCACTTTTGGCTTCCTCCTCCGATGACGTCACTGACGTCCACTAAAGGCCTTCTTTCAATAGGCGAAAGCCAACCACCCTTTTATAGCTTTACTCCTTTTGACAGGCTTAGGAGACAACCCTTACAGATTTTCACTCCTCTCTTG